GATATACCGTGCAACGGGAGAGAGGGACAAACAATAATCTTTTGGGTTAAGCAAATTAACGAGTCATTTACCTATCGTAAAATAACTTTACTATAAACCAGAACACGAGCCCGTTGTTGATTAAGAAGGGTCTTAAGTTTTAACATTATTCATATGTTCACGTATTTGTAACTACCAATCGTTATTTTATTATTTCTCGATCACATTACTAGGCATGATCATCACCAAAAGGATCAAACACGTACCGATGTGCCCGCAGGTTTATCTAAAACAACATAGTTTTCAGTCACAGCAATGATTCGAGACTTCCAGTCGATTTCATAACACCTAATCAGAGAAGATGATGCATCATGAATATTATTTATTAGCTACACATATCAATTTAAACCGATATATAATAGGATCAAAGAGAAAAAAAATAAATAATAAAATGCATCCACGACTACCTCGGAAAGCGCTTTGGGTGCACGTGCACTCGTAAGTAAGTTCCAGTTTCGACAAACTCATCCGCGTGAGTTATCCGGAAAGTTTTTTGAGCTTCTCGTTTTGTCTTCCCTTTAATAGACGATCTTTGCCTCAGAAATAACGGGTCTGTGTATTTCTTAAACATTTTGATTTGCTCAGGTGTAGCAGTTGCGGGTGGGTCCGGGCATACAAGAGCATAAAAAACAGCTCCAAAACGAATAAGATCTGCAACAAATCTTCAAGGACAGAACACAATAATCACAATGTAATTTGATACTACAATCTCATTCTCATTTTTCAGATAAAAAATTTCAACATATGATGGGAACTCACAGTGGTGGGAGATCAAGAGCTTTACTTATATACCCAAGTGCAGGTCCGCCTTCTGAAACAACCAAATGTTCGACCCTCGGAGGTCCATTCTGAGAAGGGCAAGGAAGAAGACGAACGTATGGAGGATAGCTGAAAAACCCAGTTTATGACATGCAAATGAAATGAAGGGCAATTTGAACGTGAAATTATTATCAACAAAAGGAATACATACTGTAGACTCTAGTCTAGCTAAAGACAGACATTTTTTGTAATTGTATAAACAAACGGTTTTTTACTATATGATTTTGGAGAACAAATAGAGGTGCAAACAAGCCGAGACGAGCTCAAGATTCTGCTCAAGATTCTGATACTCGAGCTCGGGCTCGATCATTTATCAAGCTGAGTCGAGCATGGCTTGTTAATTAAACAAGTCAAGCTAAGCTAAGGTAAACACTAAAAAAAATATGCAAAAACCCCTATTCTCGATCCCTAACAAACCGATCTCACGGGCAGTTCGTTTCGTTCTTTTAGTCTCACATATACCGTCCTTTCTAGAGATTTCACCCAATATGTATGAGATATCACAAATTGAATTGTTCTCCTGAGCATTTACAACTGCAGATAGCACATTTACTATTGGTAAGCTTATTTATGTTTTACCAGATGAACAACGTCCTGGAACTAGTGTAAAAAAACCCATGAGAATTCCAAAAAAGAAAAAAAAAAAAATCCTACCAACATCAATTTAAGCATACGTGGGCAACATTTCCCGATTTTAGGGGCTTGCAAGATAAATGGAAAAAAAATAAAAATGCGGTGAACTGTTGAATACCAATTATCGGAATTTGGAGATGAAGATTTCAAGATAACATCTGGAGATGAAGGAGATTCGAAGCTTAAGTTTTTGTTTACGGCATTGACGGCGTGGTACTTGCGGATGCTCCTGAAGAGCGAGCGCTTGGCGACTAAAGGGTACTTGAGGTTTATAGGGGCGGAGAAGCTCCGGCGGAAGATAGAGGATAATACGAGTGAAGATAGAGTTGTGCTGGCGGAGATTGAGGTGAAGGCGGTGGTGGTGGCGCCAATTGCCATCGCCGGCGGTCGTGCGGTGGGGTTTATTGGTGGTTTTGCGATAGAGCTGTATATATTTGGAGATGATTTTTTTTTTTATTTTTTATTTGTTCAATAATTAGCAACTTCAATACTCAAGAGTGGGAGTCTGCTCGGTTCGACTCAGTAAGGCTCGAGTTCGACTTGACTCGTTTGATAAATTATCAGAGTTCGAACTTATTTAAACTCGTACAGCAAACAAGCCGAATTTGGCTCGGGTTGGCTCCTTTAATAAACGATCGGAATTCGAGTTTATTTAAAACCCATTCAGTTAACGAGTCGAATTTGGCTCGGCTCAATAAGGCTCGGTAAGGCTCATAAGACCAATTTTGTGTACATTTCTCTAATTCGGCTTGATTTTAGCTCGTTAAGGTTTAAACTTAACTCATTAATATTGATAAACAAAATGAGCTCAAGCTCGAGCAACATGAGCTCGAGCTGAACTCGTTTACACCTCTATTACAGAGTAAAAAAAGTATAGCGAAGTTAAAATATCGTATTAATTTCGAGTTTTATTCACTTGAGTTCATTAAACAAAAACTTAGGCTCTGAGTCTTAACTAATGATAAAATTTTATGAAAATCTCTATTTACAAACCTTTAACTAAATCAAGATGTTCGCTGGTTTAAAGACTCTAATTATATTAATAAGATTTTTTTTTAATACGATATCAAAATAAAATCTTACATAAATCATTTAGAAACGAGTAATAAATCAAAAAATAATAAAACTTAAAAAATCAATTAAAAAAGTACTTCACAAAGCAAATAACCATAAACCATAAATATTATATATTATAATTAAAAATAAAAAAAGTTGTAAATATGGATAATCATATAGAGGTTAACCATGTAATTTTCTCAAACATTGGGCCAACAGCTAAACTTAAGTGGTAAATGCATAACACGAAAGCCCAACTCAGGTCTTCATAACAGCATACTTGGGCCTTAGAGGAACATTAACTAAAATTAGTTACATCAGATTTGGACCACATTCATCAAACTCCTACAGCCCGTACTGGTATTATATGAAGCCTATTTCACTATCAATCTGATTTTATTTAAAAACAAAAAAGAATATTTACATACGTTCACTATTTAAATTTGACATTCTTAAAAATAAAATAAAAAAAAATCATAAATGCTCATCCCAAAGCATGAATTAAAAAATGATGTAAGTATATGTTAGAATGATTTTGTGAATATTGTATTTTTGGTATAGATAGATTTTAGTATCTTGGAGATTTGGTGTAGATTGTTTTAAGGTTTTCTTTGTATCTATATATTCGGCTCTTGTAAATATCGGTTGAACAAGGTTTTGGAGAAACGAAATGGTTTTGACATATTTGTCATGGTATCAGAGACCGATTAATTTTTTTTTTTCGAATTCATAGTCTCGATCAACTGAAATTTTTTTTCTATTCTCGACTTTTCTCGATCAACAAAGATCAATTGAGATTACTCTTTAAAAAAAAAAAGAAAAAAAATCAGAATTTCTGATTCTTCTCTTCGCGTCTCGATCAATTGAGATTACTCATACTCCAATTTTATTTTTCTTTGGCTTCTTTACAGAACAAGCCAATTCAAAAAAAAAAAAAAAAGAAAGAAAAGCAAAATCTATTAGCTTCCTTTCTCTCAGCCTCGATTGAGCATTATACATCAATATTTTCCCTCTCATTCTCTCACAAGGACGCACAGGTTTACCCAAAAAAAAAATAAAAAATCAAATACCGTTCTCAGCGTGAATTATGGGAGAATCAGATAATGGAGGACGAGCTGGTCGTGGCGGACGAGGTGACGGACCAGTCGTTGTCGGACTTGTCAACGTCGCTTTCGGGAACGAGGCTGCACTTAGGACCTCTGGCACCATACATGGCGGGTCAACATTTTCATTGACGGACTCCGATCGGTTGGCTATTTCTGGGTTGACTGATGTCCAATGGAAGTCTATTGTACACTTCGTCACTTCTGCCCGCAACAATGCTCCTTTGTCCGGTAAGCGTAGTCCTTATGAGTGGATGTATGATAGCGGTGCTTCACATCATATGACGGGCTACTTGGAATTTTTTTCTGATATTCGGGATATTCCGTCCCCGTATGTGCCATTACCTAATGGCACCATTACCACTGCGTGTAAAGCTGGAACTGTTCATCTTGGTTATCGTATTATTTTATATGATGTTTTGTTCGTTGACAGTCTGCAGTGCAGCTTGATATCTTTATCTCGGTTGTTGGAACAATCTGGTTGTGTTGCTACCTTCACTAGTAAATATTGTGTTATTCAGGACCTCACTCCGAGGACGGTGATTGAAGCGGTTGACCAGTTGGGGGGGCTCTATTTTTTTCGAGGGGCTATCGCTGCCAATGTTTCTCGGGTGTCTTCGGTTATGCAACACTTGTGGCATCAACGGGTGGGTCATCCATCTTCTACTGTTCTTGGTCAATTGCCTTTTGTTGAATCTCATTCCTTTCTCTCGAGTAAAACTTGTGATGTTTGTTGTCGGGCTAAGCAATCTCGTGCTAGCTTTCCTCTTAGTCGAAGTGTTAGCAGTTCCATTTTCAGTCTGATTCATTGTGATGTGTGGGGACCGTATAGAGTTCCTGCCTTTTGTAGTGCTCGATATTTTCTGACTATTGTTGACGACTATTCTCGCGGTACTTGGATTTTCTTATTGGATGACAAATCTTCGGTGTCTTCCACTTTACTACAATTTTTTGCTTTTGTAAAATGGCAATTTCGTGTGTTGGTTAAAAATGTTCGCAGTGACAATGGAACTGAATTTACCCGTATGCGTGATTATTTCCGTCAACAGGGGATTGTTCATGAAACTTCTTGTGTCGGAACTCCTCAACAAAATGGACGTCCTAAGCGCAAACATCAGCATATTCTTAATGTTGCTCGAGCATTACGCTTTCAAGCCCATTTACCGATTGAGTTCTGGGGACATTGTGTACTTGCTGCTGGCTATTTGATTAATCGAACGCCTACTCCTCTTTTATCCGGCAAGACTCCGTATGAACTTTTGCATGGAGAACCTCCCAACTATGCGCACTTACGTGTTTTTGGTTGTTTGTGTTACGTGCACAATCAGAACAGGGAAGGTGACAAGTTTGCAAGTCGGAGTCGTCGATGTGTTTTTGTTGGTTATCCATCTACTCAAAAGGGATGGCGTGTTTATGATTTGGACAGCCGCATTTTTTTGTCTCACGTGATGTGAAATTCTGTGAATCAGAGTTCCCTTATTTGACGTCTCCTGCTCCTGACATTGCCTCCGTACCTCTAGTTTCATGGCCTGCTGTTTCTGACGATGATGATACTGTGGTGGTTCCCACCACAACGCGCACCACTAACACTGGGGGTTCTGAAGTCATTATTGATAGGGGGTAATCCTCCCCAAGAAGAATTGTTGGGTCGTGGTCATCGTCTCAAGAGGCCCTCTTCCCGTCTTGCCGACTTTGTCTCTCACACTGTTTGTTCATCGTCTCCCCACTCTACCTCCTCAATCACGTCATCGCCTGGTACTCCTTACCCTCTCGCACTCTATGTTTCTTGTGATTCCTTTTCACCTGCACATAAGTCATTTCTGGCGGCCATTTCGACTGTTGTTGAGCCTCGAACTTTTTCTGAGGCTGTTTGAGATAGTCGCTAGCGTTCGGCTATGCAATTGGAGATTCGAGCATTGGAATCGAACCATACTTGGGATATTGTTTCTCTTCCTAATGGGAAACACGCGATTGGTTGCAAGTGGATTTACAAGATTAAATATAACTCTGATGGTTCTGTTGAGCGCTACAAGGTGCGTTTGGTCGTCTTGGGTAACCGACAGGTGGAGGGCATTGACTATCAGGAGACATTTGCACATGTCGCCAAGATGGTTACTGTACGCACTTTTCTTGCTGTTGCAGCTGCTCGACATTGGGAGGTTCATCAGATGGACGTGCACAATGCGTTCTTGCATGGGGATTTGTCTGAGGAGGTCTACATGAAACTTCCTTCTGGTTTTCACTCGCCTGATCCAGGTAAGGTGTGTCGATTACGCCGATCTCTATATGGTTTGAAACAAGCTCCTCGGTGTTGGTTTGCGAAGCTTGCTTCTGCTCTACGACAGTATGGTTTTCAGCAGTCCTATTCTGATTACTCACTGTTTGTTTTTCATCGTGACTCATTGAGTTTACATGTCCTGGTTTATGTTGATGATCTGATCATTTCTGGAAGCGATCTAGTCGCCATTACTGTCTTTAAGAATTATTTGGGTCGTTGTTTTCATATGAAAGATTTGGGTTTGTTGAAATACTTTCTTGGTATTGAGGTTGCTAAGAATTCTTCGGGCATTTTCTTGTGCCAACGGAAACACACTATTGACATTGTGACCGAGACTGGTCTACTTGGCGAAAAACCGGCAGATTTTCCCATGGAACAGAACCACCAGCTTCCATTGGCTAATGGTCCTTTCTTTTCTGACCCCGAGCGTTATCATCGTCTCATTGGGCGATTGATCTATTTGACAGTCACTCGTCCTGACTTGTCCTATACGGTTCATACTTTGTCTCAGTTCATGCAGCAACCTCGTCAGGCCCACTGGGATGCTGCTCTTTGGGTAGTTCGTTATTTGAAGGGTACTCCTGGTCATGGTATTATTCTGCGTTCAGATTGTGACTTGCAGATTTACGGTTGGTGTGACTCTGACTGGGCGACTTGTCCCACAACACGCCGGTCTCTCTCGGGTTGGTTTGTACAACTTGGTCATTCACCCATTTCTTGGCGCACCAAGAAACAACACACTGTAGCTCGGTCTTTTGCCGAGGCCGACTATCGAGCTATGGCGATCCTTACTTGTGAGTTGAAGTGGTTGAAGGGTTTGCTTCACAACCTTGGTGTCGCTCATTCTCAGCCCATGCAGATTCATTGTGACAGCCAAGCAGCTCTCCATTGCTGCTAACCCGGTATTTCATGAGCGCACGAAGCATATTGAAGTCGATTGT